GCTATGCCCAAGAAGCCAAAGCCACGGCCAAGGCACAGCGTAAGCGCCGTAGTAAACGTGGTTATAGCTCTGACACATATCTCCGTTGTCAGAAACTGGCTACAAACATCGGCACCACTCGCAGTGGACCTGAGCCGCCCTTTATCATTGTGTGTGGGCGCACCAGCAACCAGGCGGATGAGGCAGGGTATTGGTATGTGGGTGAGAGAATACGTGTGTATGTATGCACGAGCACATACAATATGTACGTATGCATATGTACATACACATGCACATACGCATACACGTACATATATACTTATATATGTGTATAATAGGTGTGTTTATGTATGCATGTGATATGTATTGATACATGCTTGTATTTCTTTATGTGGTTGTGTATAGTGGGTGTGTTTATGTATGCATGTGTTATGTACACTGATAGAGAGACGTGTTTCAATATATGCCAGAGAATACGAGAGGCTGTAGCAGCTTGAGAGTTTGAGTTCACGTTTCAAGATGTGCCTGTATGCGAATGAGTGAAGCATATCTGTGCTCATGGGTGCATACCTACCACCCCCGAATACATCAGACTCCCCCGTACCTGTGCACACACACGCACGGATTTAGATACACATATGTGTATATATACAAACACACCCGGCTTTTCACACACATCTCTTGATATATACACACTCCACAACCACCCCCTTCCTCCTGCGTCTCCACTCACAGCTTCAGTCCTCCGGTAATTATCAACAACATGTTGCCGTTGCAGTTCAGAGCGCACTTCACAGAACGAGACAGCCTACACAAGCACTACACCGACGCCATTGAACCCGGAGGTCACTGCTCTATGCATGTAGATCTCTCCAGGTATGTGTCTAAGCCCAGAAACCCTAGAACCCTAAAACCCTAAAACCTCAGGTATGTGTCTAGGCCCAAAAATCCGAAATCCTAGAACGTACGTATAAATATATATCTACGTGCGATTCAGCACAAGCGTACATTTTCTGTCACATATACACATGGATAATGCTGTTTTAAAAGTCTTCTATTCCTTGTACAGAGAAAGTCCGGTTGTATACGTGCGTATACATGTATATTTACGTACGATTCAGTCCAAACGTACGTATTCTTGCACACATGCATATACATACAGCTGTTATGATGTCTCTTACTCATATGCTGCGAGAGAGAAGTCCGGCATTATACACTTATATGTATAAGTATGATTCAATACAAGTTTATATATGGCTTATATATACATGTATACTCATGAAGCTAAATATCTGTCACCTCGTTGGTTTACAGAGAGAGGAATCCGCTATTTTACATGAAACTGCCCCGCTATGGTACGGGTGAGCAGCCAATCAGAACCACGCACGGGGAACTTGCGCGCTTCTTCGAGGTATCCTCCAATCAGCAGGGACCTTTGAATATAGGTATGTATATCAAACATGTATGTGCATGTATTCATGTGTCCATATACGTACGTTATATTTATCACTGAAAGCGCAAGCTGGAAGTCCCTGTCATCTTTATGCTCGATTTTTGTCTGTCACCTAACGCTAATTGAGCCATTTTATTGACTGGCTATGTCACGCTCTTTGACCTATTTGCAGACCCCGGTAGGTTCCCTCCTTTCCCCTCTTAGGAATCCTAAAAGGATTTATTTATTTAAATAAAGCATACTTTGATTTTTGTGAATAATTACGTGAGTGGATGTGAGTGAGTGAGCTTGTGTGCCTGTGTGGATGAGTGTGTTTATGTTTGATTGTGTGTGACTGAGCAACAGTGCGTATTTATTTGTGTGCGTGTGACTGTGTGTTGACTGTTGAGTGAAAGTGGGGGGGGGGGGTGGGGGGTTTCCTCAAGAAGTTATTTCACCGCCCTTGCGCGGATATATTTACAAGTTATCAACTACCCTCTTTGATTGGACGCTTTCAGTCCCCTCGGCGCCTAAGCCGGGTTTTATTCATGTGTTTTTCTATAAATGCTGTTTTCACTTATGTGGTCATATCTGTATGTGCATGTATTGATGTGTTCATATATGTATGCTCTATTTATTATTTGTAATTGCATGTATTGGAGTGTTCATATACGTAAGTTATATTTATTCAAGTGTTCATATTCGTAAGTTATATATTTTCAAGTGTTTTTATACAAATTTTGTATTTATTTATGTGCTCATATGTGTATCTGCATGAATTGTTGTGTTCATATACGGAAGTTATATTTACTCGTGTGTTCATGTATGTATGTGCATGTACACATGTTTCCATATGCGTATACTATAATTGTTCACATGTTCATATGTATGTTCATGTACTCATGTGTTTATGTATGTATGTATGATATATTCGTTTACGTTTGTAGTTGTGTATTTGTGATTTGTCGCATGTATGTATATGCGCATGTATCTCAGTCCCTTACCCCTTATCTCTTCCCCTTGACTCTCTCTCCGTAGAAATATATTGTGTGCTTATTTATTATCTCTTACCACTCATTATTCCTTATGTCTTCTCCTTTTGCCTTCTCCTTATGTCTTCTCCTTATCCCTTCTCCTTCTCTCTCACTCTATCTCTCTCGCCGTAGGATTACATTGGGAGCGGCATGGCAAGGCCTTGCAAGTGACTGTGTTTGTTCAGTACTGGCTAATGAATAAGACAGGGCTCCCTCTCGTCATCAAACAGGCGGGATTAGGGGGTGATCCTTCAAGGTGTGTGGCGAAGCGGAAATGGCTGGGCATGATTCATTCATACATACATATATACATAT